CCCAGTTTTATTCCACTGAACTGTATTTCTGTCCTTATGCCAGTATTGCACTACCTTAATTACTGCAGCTTTATAGTAAGTCTTGCTATTGAGTAGTGGGAGTCTTCCAACTAGAACATCTTTCTCAAAATTATTTTGGCTATTCTAGTTGCTTTGCTTTTCCATATAAATTATCAACTCAGCTTGTTAATTTGTTAATATCTAAAAAAAAATCTTGCTTGGATGTTGATTATGAATGTGTTGCAGCTATACATCATTTTGGGGAGAATTGACATCTGAATAATATTGAATTTTCCAACATGTGAAACATGGTATATCTCTCCATTTATTCAGGTCTTTTTGATTTCTTTCATCAGTGTTTTATAGTTTTCAGTGAACAGGTTTGCATCTTTTTGTTAGGTTAATCCATAAATATTTCATAGATTTGGTGATATTTAAATGGTAGTTTAAAAGATTCCATGTCTGATTGTTTATTGCTTGCATATAGAAATGCAGTTGCTTTTTTTTTAAATTAATTTTTTCTTTTGTAAATGAAAGATAAGCGATGCATGGGTTTAGCAAATTATCACAACTGGGTTAAGTCTTGTCTCTGCCTTATCCCAGTTGTGTATATGTGTGTTAATAGACTGAGTCATTGACTGACTTTATTATGGAGGAAATATTTGTCAAGTATTGCAGTTGCTTTTTATATATTGATCTGGTATCCTGTGATCTTGTATCTTTATATTTTTAAACTTGCTTATTAATTCTGGTAGAATTTGGGGGAGATTTTCATGACACAATCATGTCATCTGCAAATATAGACAGTTTTATTTCTTCCTTTCCAATCTGTATGCCTTTTTCCTGTCTTTTTTCTGTCTTATTGCATCATCTAGAACCTCCAGTACAATGCTGAATAAGAGTGATGAAAGGGCACTATCTTGCTTTGTTCCTGGTCTTAGCAGGAAACATTCAGTCTTTCACTATTAAGTGTGATGTTAACTACACATTTTTGCATATGCCATTGATCAGATTCAGGACTCTCCCTGCCATTCCTAATTTTTTAAAAAATGATTATTTATTTTTGAGAGAGAGAGAGAGACAGAGTGTGAGTGGAGGGGTTGCAGAGACAGACAGACAGACAGAATCTGAAGCAGGCTCCAGGCTCTGAGCTGTTAGAACAGAGCCCAACATGGGGCTCACACTTAAGAACCATGAGATCATGACCTGGGCTGAAGTTGAATGCTTAACTGACTGAGTCACCCAGTCATCCAAATTTTTCTTTTTTTTTCTTTTTTTAATGTCTATTTATTTTTGAGAGAGAGAGAGTGTGTGTGTGTGTGTGTGTGTGTGTGAGAGAGAGAGAGAGAGCACGAGTGGGGAAGGGGCAGAGAGGGAAACACAGAATCTGAAGCAAGCTCCAGACTCCCGAGTTGTCAGCACAGAGCCTGACATGGGGCTTGAACCCATGAACTGTGAGATCATGACCTGAGCCAAAGTTGGACACTTAAATGAGTGAGCCACCCAGGTGCTCTGGGTTTTTCTTTCTTAATCGTTCACTGATGTTGAATTTTTTCCATATATTTTTTCAGTAACTACTGAAATAACTATATGTTTTTTTCTATTTAGTCTGTTAATATGGAGAATTACATTGATTTTTCTTTTCTTTTGTTTTTTAATGTTTATTTTTGAGAGACAGCACAAACGGGGGAGGGGCAGGGAGGGGGATAGAGGATCTGAAGCAGCCTCTTAGCTGACATCAGCGAGCCCAAACTCACAAACTGGGAGATCATGACCTGAGCCGAAGTCGGGTGCTCAACCAATTGAGCTACCCAGGTGACCCTACGCTGATTTTTCGAAGTTGAACCAGCCTTCCATTCCTGGGATAAAGCGCACTTGGCCATGTGGCATTATTATGATACAATTTCCTGTCTGAAGGCGGCTCCTCATCTTCTCCTTCCCAGTTTTTCCTTTCTCCTGTTTTTAGTCGTCTGGTACCTTCCTTTCCTTTCAAAAAGGAGCATGCTGGAGAATGTTCTAGTTAGGGAAGAACATGTTCCAGCATTCCCTGAAGATTGTGCCTTCAGCCTTCATCTCCTCATTTCATTCTTTTTCCTTATCTCTTTCTCAGTGGTCCCAGTGACTTCCTAGAGGTATGTCTTCAGGGTTTTCCTTCAGAGTCACTTGCATTGGTTACTACTGTAGGCCACAGTCTATTTCTTCCTGAACCTTATCCCCCTGGTCTTAGGGGCTCCTCCTTCTGAGTCAGCTCTGCTTTGCCTGGCCCCCAGCCTCATATAAATCTTTGGGCTTCTGTGGCAGCCTCCTGACCTGTCTCCCACTCCCTGCATTACTTTTGCCCTTGATGAGTCGTCATCTTTTTTTTTTTTTTTTTTTTTTTTTTTTTTTTTTTTTTTTTTTTTTTTTTAAGTTTGAGAGACAGAGCATGTGTGTGGGAGGAGCAGAGAGAGAAAGAGGGAGAGAGAAAGAGGGCTGCACTTCAGCCCATGAACTGTGAGATCATGACCTGAGCCAAAGCCAAGAGTCACACACTCAACCGACCGAGCCACCCAGGCGCCCCCGGTTATCTTCTTGAAGCTATGTGCTCATGCTGCTGTTGTTTCCTTCATTAGTCCTTCATGCTCCTATTTTGTAAGGATTGTGCTAGGCCTCTCAGCCTGACATTCAGATGCCCCTTCAGTCTGGCTCTGGTCTGCCTTTCCAGCTCTATCTTCTCTCTATGGACTTCTCTTCAGGATCAGAAAGCCTGGATTATTTATTCAAGGATCCTGAGTACCTCACAAACATGAGTTTAGTGGATACTCTTTCCAGGGATGTCCTTTCCCATGCCTGCCAGACTCACCAATTATGCCTCCAACCCCAGGCCCAGTGTGCCCTCCTCTGCCCTCCTGCCCCCCATGCTCCCCTCGTCTCCCTCTTGCTTAGTGTGAGGCAGTTTCTGTTTCCTATCACTGGTTCTTTGTCAGTCTTGACCACTTATCTCTTCACCTGGATTGTAAGCTTCTGTAGAGCAGGGGTTTTCTTTCCTTGTGATAAGTAGGTTGTGTTTTTCTCTGTCATGTTTTTACAAGAAATGACAATGGTAGGATTCTGAGGTGGATGGGTTTGGGATGGGGCTTGGGGGAGTTGTGAGTCAACATAAGAGTTGGTGGAGCTGGTAATCTGAGTTTGCCCTTTCCCTGAAGGCACATCCAGGAAGCATCTGGAAGATATCCAGGAGGTGGTTGAGGGGAGCTTATAATGTCCTTCAGCCAGGAAACCAGAATTTATTGTGTAGCCAAGGAGAGAGCAGGACTTTGAGACAGGAAAGAGAGTCTCTTTCTGTTCATGGATTGGGACAGTCACCATAAAGGATGTCTCCAGGGAAACATGGCACCACATCCCGCATGAGCCCACATGGCCTCCAAGCCTAAGCTGGCTGAGGACCCCGGGTAGAGGTCAGAGTACCTCAGAGCTGGGGTGGGGAAAGCCTTCAGGTGGAATGCAGACCTGAGTCAAGGACAGGAATTCTAGGATCCAGTGGACAAAGAAGACCCTGGAAGAAGAGTGTGGAGGGCTGTCTGCCAGGTCACCGCCAGGCAGCTGAAGTCCCAGAGGGCTTCTGGAACTATAACGGAAGGTTCAAGGGCCAATTAGGGTTACCCCTTCTGTAGTTGAGACTAAGAATTAAGTTTTTCAAGGGAGGGATGGAGTCCTAGAAGCCTGAACATCTTTGCATGGCTTCTGTCCTGTGTGGCCTAAGGCCAGGGCAGGACCAGGATTAGTTTACCTAGATATCCCAGGAGCTGTACCTACCAAGAAAAAATTCGTCTCAGCAGCACCATTGCCAGGATCTGAAATGTGCTGTGAAACTTGCTTTCGTGGGGTGTGTAGTGTTGTGTTTTGCTTTCCCTTCACTTTTCAGTAAATATTCCTTTCCAAAGAATTCCAACCTTGTCTCTGTGACCTGAGGGGCAGTAGTATTTTTCCACACACATACCTCAGTCAGCACGGAGAAGGGCACTAGTGAGGAGCAGAGGGTGATGGTGGATGCTCTCCAGCTGGTATGATGGAGTTGTCAGAGGGCTGTGGTGCTGGTGCAGAGAAGGAATGGAAGCCGAGGAAGAGGAGATGAGACCAGCTATTGCCACTGATCCCTACTGGCTGGGGACCTTATCCGTCTCTCATTTCCCAGGGGATTTAGCACAGTGCTGGGTATCTCATGGGTAGTCAGCAAGTGCGTGCTTCATCGCAGTTGATCCCTGAGGAATAATAAGCTAATATAAAAATAATAATAAGCTAAGGATTCTCTGCCAAAGGGTAGCCCTTTGTCCTGCCCTGGACTTTATTGCACTTTCAAAAAAAGAAATCTCGCAATGCTTATGGAACCTTCCTTGCAATGCCCCTGCCACCTCCCACAATACACAGCTCCATCACAACATCACCAGTATCCCCAACCTTTTCAGTGCTGGGGCTATGGACACGTTCAGTATGATTATTCAGAGACTTGGTTCTTTTTTTTTTCAACGTTTTTTTTTGTTTTGTTTTGTTTTTTTTATTTTTGGGACAGAGAGAGACAGAGCATGAACGGGGGAGGGGCAGAGAGAGAGGGAGACACAGAATCAGAAACAGGCTCCAGGCTCCGAGCCATCAGCCCAGAGCCTGATGCGGGGCTCGAACTCACGGACCGCGAGATCGTGACCTGGCTGAAGTCGGACGCTTAACCGACTGCGCCACCCAGGCGCCCCAGAGACTTGGTTCTTTAGGGCCATAACCTGTCACAGGCCAGCCAAGTTTTGGCCTTTGAGGAAGTCAGAGAGCCTGACCTATTATGCTTGGCTACTCCCTGTGGTCAGCCATGGGTGGGTGTCCTTGGCATTGGTTTGCTCACAGCTAGGTGGTTTTTGCTAATGTGGAGGCTGGGGGCCCTATGCTTGGGGGCCGGAGGGTCAGGGTTGGGGCTCCAGTGACTGGTTGGAGCTCCAGGCCTGAGCTTGGTGTCTTCATCTCTCCCTCTGCAGCTTGTTTCCAATGTCCTCATTTTCTCCTGCACCAACATTGTGGGTGTCTGCACCCACTACCCGGCTGAGGTCTCTCAGAGACAGGCCTTCCAGGAAACCCGGGAGTGCATCCAGGCACGGCTCCACTCACAACGGGAGAACCAGCAACAGGTGAGTAGGGCCCTCTTGTCCTTTCGTAGCTACAGGGAGCACAGGCCCAGGACCTGCCTTAGCCCAGCTGCCCGCCACCCCCCCCAGCTCAGCTCCTTGTAGCTGCCCTGCCCTGTCTCCCGGGCAGGGACCCAGCCAGAGGGGAATGTTTTCCCTGGAGGGAGTCTACCATTTCTGGCTCTGTGGGCATGCTCTAGGGAGACTTTGGAGAAAGAGCTCTACCCCAGCCCTTGCCCACTGCCTCCTCAGTGTTCCCCTGTGGACTGCAAAGAAGCCAGGCTGCCCAGGCCCTGGGCACAGAAAAGCACCCTCCACCTGTCCCCAGTGCTGATGAGGTGAAGGAGCGTCTGCATCAGCATTCCCACCTGGGATTCACGTGCTCCCCCATGAGAGAGGAGAGAAGGGAGAGCTGTCAACCCCGGGACACCCTCGCCAGGCACGTCCTCTGTGCTGAGTTCTGGGGTTTGGTTGGTTCAGAGAAAGGATGATGGTTGTCTCACCCTAAACCTCATCCTCGGAGAACTTTTGGGAGGGAAGTAAGCCACTCACGTGGGCCAGAGACTTGCAGGACTTTTCCGAGTGAGCACTGGGGCAGGGTGTCCTGCCCCTGTGTGCTCTCTTGGGTAAGGGAAGGGCAAGGACTGAGGGCTGGTCAGCGTTCCCCTCCTGGCTGCCTGGCATCCTGTTTGGGGTTCAGGACCATTGTGTCATCTCCTGCGTGTGAACCAGATGAGGTCTGGGGACCCTGGGCCGCAATGGAGCTGAATAGCTCTCAGGCAGGAGCTCCAGAGATGGGACCGTGTGACCCCAGGGGAGCGTGTGGGCAGGTCAGCAGGGTGACGGGGGCCCCCACTAGACTTGTACCAGTTGTAGTTGTTAGAGATGAGGTTACTCCAAAGCAGGTTCTCCTCTCTTCTTATGTTTGTGCCTACCCAGCAAGCTGAATGGAGTCCTGCTGCCTTCGAGCTTGGGGATAAGGGAGACAAAGGCCTAGACAGCAGTAGTCCCCTGCACCCTCCTCGCTGGCACAGAGCGTGTGCTGTGGACGTCCCAAGTGCCCTTTGACCACAGTGTGAGAGGGTCTCTGACTCCATCTGGATGCATCCTGAGGAGTTAATGGCACGGGCTGGCCATATCTGGATGGCTGAGCAAGGGGGTGACGCTCTGGCACCATTCCTCCCCGCCCCCGCGAGTCGCTGCCTATCCCTGCTTCCTGTCCAGCCCTGCCGCTGTGGCCGTTGTGTCCTGCCAGGTCCCCAGCTCATGCTGTCCAGTCGGCGGCCTGGCTTGCCCCAGGCATTCTTTTGGCCCTGTCTGAACTCCTGGTCCAGCTCTTGAATGAGACCCATGCTCAGCAGTGTCCCTGAGTCCTCCCACTGTCTTTGTCTGACATGCTTGCTGCACGTCTGCAACCTACTGGAGGCCCCTATGCTCCTCAACGGCCCCCTCTCTCATCCCAGTTCCAGGCTCTGGCATCTCTTGCCAGAGATCCATCCCTTTTTGTGTTAGGGAGTGTCCCTTCTCACTCCTGGACCTTGTCCCTTCTCCAGTAAAAAGAACATTTTATAGCTCATCACCGTTTACTTGCACTAGCCCTGGACAGGCTGGACATTCCAGCAAATCCACAGGGATTTGGGAGAGAAAATCTATTTGCTTTACCATGTTCTGAGCCAAGATACCAGGGAGGAGAGGCGTACTTACTGGGGGTGGATACTCCTCACCCAGCCAGAGCCTTGTGGCTCTCGGGCCTTCCCCCACCCTTGGGTCCTTGGGAACACTCCTCGGTGCCACCTGATAATGGGACTCAGAACTGTTCCCCAACGCCCCCCCCCCCACCTTCCTGACCCTCAGCCCAGAAGTGGTTATAATTGTAGGAAGATCTTTCATGGATATAAACCGTATGTAGCACACTTTCTCCCAATTGTCTTAGATTTCCACAGAATTGCTCTTTATTTTGTTTTTGTCACCAGTAACCATTTACTGAGAGTTCAGTAAATAGGAGGTGGCCTTCAGTGGCCATGTCCACTGATGCTCAGGGAGACCAAGCTAACCCACAGAGAGCACCCTCGCTAGATTAACAGTGTTTTCCAGGCCGCACGCAGGCCGTCAGCTGTGGAGCTGAGCACAACACAGCCCCATCCTCGGGGTATCTCATTGCTACAGGGAGACCCTGTTAACAAATCACCAAAACCCCGAGTGATCAGGGATTCTGCAGGAAGGCCCTGGGTGGTGAGGGGGTGCTGCTGCCAGAGCCAGGAAGGGGGGAAGCCTGAAGGAGGGCTACCAGCCACATGTGAGGATGGTGAGTCTAGCTGAGGAGATTGTGTGCAAAGGCAAGAAAACACCACCAGCAGCTTGGGAAGCTTCCCGTGGTTCTCTGTGTTTGGAGCAGAGCACAGATTTCAATGCAGGGCGTGCTGGGAGCATGCAATGAGATACCCCCGAGGATGCTGCTGCGTCGTGCTCAGCTCCACAGCTGAGGGCCTGGGAGGAGGACGCAGAAGGGAGGCCAAGTCCAGACCCTATCGGGGCCCCACATGACCCTCCCCTCCACTGTGTGGCCCTGGCCCCTCTCCCTGCTTCTTTCTCACCTCTTCTCTCAGTTTGTCAGTCAGCGTGATTTCCCCTCTCTTCTGGGTTACTCTCCCCTGTGTAGAAATGGAGCACTTGAACCTTCTCCTTCTGGTCCCTGCGAAGCCTTCTCTGGCCACCCCATTCTCCCCAGCCCGGGTCAGGTACCCCTGCTCAGTGCCGCAGAGTACCCCACACCCCCATGAGACTGGGAGCTTTGTGAAGGAGGAACCTTGCCTGTCTCACTCACAGTTATAACTCCTGGCGCCCAGCATGATAGGTGCTCAGTAAATATTTGATGACTAATTGAATGAATCTCATTTAATGCTCTCAACAACCTCATCCCTATTTATAGATGAGGAACCTGAGGCTCAGAGAGGTTCAGTAATTTGCACGAGGTCACATGGAGTCTCAGGTGACATCCAGGATGCCAGGGGGCTCAGTACTACAGGTTCACCAGGAGGGCTCTTCCCCAAGTATGTGCACAGAAAAACCAGGAGGTTGCCCAGGGAGACAGGATTCAAGTAGCCCTGGGGGCATGACTCTAGCCCCACCCCCACACAGGTGTTAGCTCCGTGGATTTCAGGTGACCTGAGAGGTTTTCTAGGACTTTGCAGGTGGGGACCCAGGCAGGTGGAAGGACCTATGACAAAAGCATGTGCTTCCCTCCCCAGGAGCGGCTCCTGCTGTCTGTCCTGCCCCGTCATGTTGCCATGGAGATGAAAGCAGACATCAATGCCAAGCAGGAGGATATGATGTTCCATAAGATTTACATCCAGAAACATGACAACGTGAGGTAGGAATGAGGCTGGGGGGTGAGGCTGGGGGTGGAAGGACTGATCCCCCAGGGAGACAACATCCCTACCTCCTCCCCTTCAAGGGAGCACAGCCCAACAGGGTGGTCTGTGGCTTTGGGGTGTGTGTTGTCTGGGGCGCCCTGGCCGCACCATGCCCCTACAGGTTGGAGGTGAAGCTGCAGGGAGAAGATATAGAAGGAAGGAGGAGAAAGGAGAAAGCAATAACACCAGCTGTTGGGGAAATTCCTAGCCTAACAAGGGAGACAGAAAGCAGACTTAGGACCCACATATCCCCATCATCGTCTCAACCTTCATCACCATCTAGCAGCTTCCATGCCTTCTAAGCCAGTGTATGTCAGGCGCTGAACCAGCCATTACCCATCTATTGCTAATCATCCTGACCATGCAGCAAAGTGGGGACCCTTATCAGCATCCCTCGTTTAGAGACTTAGCTTGGAATGGCTAAGACCCTCACCCAGGGTCACTCAGCGAGGAGTGGCAAAGCTGAGGTACACCTAGTTTGGCCTGCCCCAAAGCCCATGCCCCTTTTACTGCACATTTGCCGCTTCTCTAGACAGAAGCTGCCGGCAGCAGAGACGTGCAAACAGATGTAGACTAATAGAGTGCAAAATCTGCTTATGAGTTCCATGGGGACATGAAGCGATACAGTGGCCTTCATCCAGCATGGCTTCCTGGAGAGCCCAGTAATCCTCCCATATGCCCAGAAAAGGAGCTACTGTGTTTGCCTTTGAGAGAGTTACTTTCTCCCTGGGCAGGTTTTCCTTGGCCCCACAAGTCTTCCAAGGCTGGTGTAGAGGGAACCTTTTGAGGCTTGGGCTGAGTTTTCATAAAGGGATTAAATGGGATAGTATGAATTACTGTGCATGCACACACACACACACACACACACAAATATACGTCCTTTCAAGGTGAGGTTGATGGCCACGGGGGCGGGGCAGGCACTGTGTTTTCCTGTAGAAATTGTCAGAAGTTCAGGCAGAATTGTCCAGTTCCCAAGTGTGCCCTGGAATCTAAGACCGTTGTTCCTGCCCACCGCGTCCTGTATCCATCTTCCAAAACACTCAAAACCTTTGGGAGAAAAAGGTACCGGAACAACACTTTTGTCCCCATTTTGGGGGTACCCCAATCCCCCTGAAGCCCACCCATGCTCCGCTGTCAGGCAGGGAGAGCATAGACAGCAGCAGGAAGAAGGATGCCTATGGCCGAGTCCCCCCCATGTCTGCTCAGGAGGTGTCCCAAAGCTCAGAGAGAGAAGTGGGACCCAGGACTTGGTAGGTTGTGCTGACATACTGTTTTCCCACTTCTTCTCACACCCATCTCTGACCCACAAGGTGGAATAATTGGTAACAACAGTAGTTAAACTTGTATAGTGCCTTCTTTAACTCACACAGTGGTCAATGCTTCACTATATTCATGGAGTCCTCACAATATAAGAGGTTGGTGCTATTATTATCTCCATTTTATAGGAAACTGAGGCACAGAGATTAATTTGTCTAAGATCACAGATCTGATTAATTAGGACACCTGTCTCCAGAAAGCTTTTTGGTATCAGAGTTCTTACCTAGCCTGACTAGGGGTTTTTTATATGCTTAGGAGAAAGGAGTGTGTATGAGGGTTTGTGGGAAGGAGTCAGGGAGCCCCCAAGCCAAGGGGAGACTCAGAAGAGAGAGAGGAAGGAGGTTTGGCTTCTAGCGTGTGTGTGTGTGTGTGTGTGTGTGTGTACCCACCATGGGCCTTTCCTGTGTGATTGAAACCCCTGAGATCTGGGGACTCTATGATATGGAAAGAAAGAGCCTTCCCTATTAGAACAAATCCCAGAAGCCCAAATCAGGTTGGGAAGGAGTAACCTGCCTAGTGGTTCTAGCACATATAAAGCCCTGAGCTCCCTGTTTCTGGGATTTTCTCTCTTGATCCTGTCTTCACCATCTCACTGGCCCTGGCGTCCTTCCAAACACAGCTTGGACAAAAGGTGCTTTCTTTGACTGTTCTCAGTGTGGCAGTGCTTTCGGCAGATTCCACTCAAATATAAGGTAGAACACGAAGGGAATGAGGAAAATTTAGTGCTCAGAAACAGTTGGGCATTGAAGGCATAGATTCTCAGCCTGACTTGGTTAACACATCCGGCCACCTCTGCATCTCTGCCCAGCACCTTGCCCGCTCATCTCCTCCTCTCAGTGGCTTTGGGCCCCTATCCCTCCAGCAAGGGGGTTTGGTCAGAGGGGCTGACTCACGCCTCTTCCACCACCACAAAGAATGGCCCACCCCTGGGGTGACATCGCCCTCACCCTTCCACTCCCACAGAGGCTTGACTTTGGATGGGTAAAAGACTAGTACTCTAGGGACGCCTGTGTGGCTCGGTCGGTTGAGTGTCCAGCTTTGGTTCAGGTCATGATCTCACAGCTTGTGAGCTCAAGCCCCGCATCAGGCTCACTGCTGTCAGTGCAGAGCCCATTTCAGATCCTCTGTCCCCTCTCCCTCTGCCCCTCCCCCACTCTCACATGTGTATACACTCTCTTTCTCTCTCTCAAAAATAAGTAAACATTGAAATAAAAAAAGAATAGTACTCTAATCACAAAGTGGCTGGAGCGTCAGTGTCCATGTGGCAAGAATCAGACCTGCAGCCACAATGAGGGTATTTCTGTTTTAGGACGTGCAGAGGATCAATGACAGCAAGCAGGAAAGAGACAAAAGGAGAGAAAAATCAAGATGCTGCCCTTTTTATAGGGACAGACATAATTCTGACTCTGAAATTGCCAGGCTAGTTGTGGCTGGTACACATCCGAGGCCAGCCACAAGCAATCATATGCAAATACCTCGCGGGAGCCCTGTTTCTTGTTCCATTAGCAACCCTGGCTGCAGCTCTTGATGGAAACACATTGCACGCTTGGTCTCTCTTTTGGGTTGAACCTTTGACTCAGATTGGGGGTTGAGTAGTAGGTGGAGGGGTGACATCATAGTGTAGAAGGGCACTTTGGGGCTGGGCTCATGGCACAGTGATTAGGCGTGGGGTCAGGCAGCCCTGTGAGTCACCCGAGCTCTGCTGTTCGTGGCCATGTGACCAGGGCAAGTTATAGGTACTGATGCTGTGAACGTCAGTCTCTTCATGTACATGATAGGGCAGGAAGAATACTTACCTCGCAGGGTTGTGAAAAGCAAATGAAATCGTGTGAGGAAAGCACTTAGTGCAGCGTCTGGCACAGGACATGTGTTCAGTAATTGGGAACAGCTATTATTGTTGGTACTGCTATTATGATTATTATCGCGCTCCTATCAACAAAGAAAGGCCTGGGGATTCTCTAGCTGGAGAGTGGAGGGGTGAGGAGTCACGCTTGTCAATTCTCTGCGGAGTGGTAATATTTAGAGAGGGTGACGACGTGCTGCCCTCTAGCCCCTCTGAGAGCAAGGCCACAAGAAAAATAAATCAACCCTGCGGTGTGACAGGCTGGGCCTGGATCTACGGAAGGGGAAGAGACTAATGGGTGGGGAGAGTTTAGCCTGGGCAGGAAGGGGTGACAACAGGCCCCCACCGCTCTCTGTGGCCTCACCCTTTCCTGGCCCCCAACACAAAAGTCGCTCCTGGGATTGCCAGGAGGCTGTCAGGTGCTTTGGTGCTGACTATGCATTGAGGTGGACCAGAGGCCAAGGACCCTTGGAGACCCCTTCCCTGGAGCCCCCAGCCTCTCCCGTCTTTCATGTGGTGATGGATGGAGATGTGTTAACCCCTCTAGCTGGACTGGTCGGTGGGGCTGGGGCCCTTGCTGGGTGTCAGACCTGTGGCTTGAGAGCCCTCCTCACCGTCCTCTCCCCAGATGCCTGCCTCTCCTGCAGCCAGCAGAGGGGGGCTGTGCCATCCTGGGCCTCCAGCACATGCCAGCAGAGACAGCCCTGGGCTGGGGGGTCCCAGTGCTCTGCCTTGGAGGAGAGACAGTGAGGGTGGAGGAAGGGGCCAGCCCTAGAAGCTCACAGCAGGGGAAGGCACATCCCCATGGGTCGCAGTAAGTGTACAGATGTTGTCAGAGCTCTTGTGCCACCAGATTGCCCTCGCCAAGAGGTCACCGTTGTGAAGCAAGATGAGTGTCTGTGTTGAGCAGCCTGGGTCACACCCTGCTCTGCCACTTAATAGCTGTGGGAACTTGGATGAGTCACCTAACCTGAGCCTCAGTTTCCGCATCTGTAAAGGGGAATAGTGGTTGGGGCGCCTGGGTGGCGCAGTCGGTTAAGCATCCGACTTCAGCCAGCCAAGTCCTGATCTAAGCGGTCAGGCTGAGTTAGAGCTTGGCGACAGACTTCAGACGATGGCTCAGAGCCTGGAGCCTATTATTTCTGTGTGCTCCCTACTCTCTGCCCCTCCCCACACAGTTCTCTTGTCTCTCTACATGCCCAAAAAATAAATAAACATTAAAAAAAAAAAATTAAAAAAAAAAAAAAGCATAAAAGGGAATAATTAGAATTTGTCCCCTCACTCATTCATTCAGTGGATGTTTTCCTCTGCTTCCATGGGTGGAGACCACCAACTGCACTCACAGACCCTTAGCTATGAGGCAGGGATTGCAGTGGGAACTGAGAGGGACCCCCTCTCAATGTTGTAGCTCACTTTCCTTTCAGGAAGACATGCACTACACAATGGATTAATTAGTAATGTGGGAGCATCTTGCATGAGGGAGATGGGGGGCAGGGCTGCATTCTTGAAGGAGCTGTCGATGTTACAAAACTTACTGCTCAGGCCATTCTGTGTCATGATAGAAGCCACAAAGGAACAGAGCCTGAAGACGGGGCCTAAGACTCTCACTCCTTATGGGGAGGTGTCCTGGCCAGGCCAGGAGGCAGTAACTGCAGGCTGTTCCTCTATGGAGGTGAAAGGCAGGCCACCAGGCGAGAGTCAAGGTCAGGTGACCAATACCCCCAAAAAATAACAGAACCCAAAGGGGGAACCTGAAGGATTCTATGAAAAGGCACTGAAAGTTCCCCACTTCCATTA